ATTCCTGCGGAAAGCAGTTTGCAAACTTGCTCTCCCGGGGCTGCCTTTGAGAAAGCTGCCAAAGAACTCCACAGAGGACGCTGCTGCTGTCGCGTCTTTCGGGGGGCTGCCCTCGGAGACTGTTTGGAGGAGGCTGAGGGATGCTCCCTGTTCCAGGGGCTTTGAACAAGAACAGGATGCTGCCCTGGTTAGTTTCAAGGCTCAGTTTTTGTTCTGGCTTTAAGCCGTTCTGTACTGTGCCTATAGAATCATTCAGTTCGGAGGGACCTCCAGGGTCATCTAGTCCAACCTCTTGCACAACGCAGGAAATTCACAAATGCCTCCCCCTCCACACACCCCCAGTGACCCCTGCTCTATGCCCAGAAGATGGTAAAAAAACTTCCAGGATCCCCGGCCAAACTGGCCTGGAGAAAAATTGCTTCCTGCCCCAAATTGGCAATCAGCATTTCCCTGGGCATTTCCTGCCCTCCCGCTCATGATCTGCCCAAGTCCACAAAATCAGCATTGCTGTCAGACGGCCATCTAGCCTCTGTTTGAAAACCTCCAAAGAAGGAGAGCCCACCACCTCCCAAGGAAGCCTGTTCCACTGAGGAACCCCTCTAACTGTCAGGCAGTTTGGACAGAATGATCTTCAAGGATGCCCATGAAAGACTGAGGACCAAACCGAGCAGGATACCAGGATCCAGATCGGATTCGTTCTCCCCCAAGTCCCCGAGATGTACAGTTTAGATTCAACACGCAGTCGTAAGTGGAGGGAGGGCTATGCCCTTTTCCTAGCTGGATTTACTGTTTGGCGGTAGACTGCATCTGAACACGGAGGTTTTGCCACTATGGCTAATAGCTATTGTTTAGCCTGTCCTTTATGAATTTGTAATTTCAATGGGCTTAGACTGGATCAAGGGAGGGAAGGCAGTATAGTATAGACCAGTGATGGTGAATCTTTTAGAGACTGAGTGCCCAAACTGCGACCCAAAACCCCTTATTGATCGCAAAGTGCCAACATGGCAATTTAACCTGAATACTGAGGTTTTACTTTAGAAAAAACAACTCATACATTTACATAAGATGATCCAAACAAAGTAAGGAAAGCGATCCCAAATGCTTTCATTTACTTAAAATTATTTGGCAGAGAATTCCACACTTTAATGACGGTCTGGGCCTGGCTGGGGTGATGGCTTGCGTGCCCACTGAGAGGCCTCTGAGTGCCGCCTCTGGCACGCGTGCCATAGGTTCGCCACCACTGGTATAGACCAATCTCGTCAGATCCCGGAAGCTAAGCAGGGTCAGTGCTTGTAAGGGCGATTGCCACCAAGGAAGACTCTGCAGAGGAAGGCATTGGCAAACCACCTCTGCTTCTCCCTTGCCTTGAAAGCCCCTTTCTGGGATCACCAGAAGTCGGCTGCGACTTGATGGTATCTCACACACGCACGCACTAGAACAACCCCGCGCAAGATTGCATTACAAATAAAAAAGCATTCTGCTACAAAGTCAAGCGAAGATTTGAGGGCGGGGGGAGAAGAACAACATTCATTCCAAATGTCCACCCAGGAGAGACGGGGAGCCGGAAGGCCCTTGGTTCTGCCCTGGTGGAGGTTACCAGATCGGATTCATTTGGAAGGCTCCGTTCTCCCTTTGCATGTCAATAGGAAAGGTGTGCAGATAATGAATTCTGGAAGTGCAGAAGCATGAGCAGATTGCTAATGAGGAGGGAGAGTTAAACATTTCCAGTGTGGTGTGAATTGGGGGGGGGAGCACACCGCTTGCAGGGGCTTGCCCTGGGAGAGGAGCAATCGATTCTTCAAAACTAACCCTCCCTTCCCCGCCATTTCCAGCTCTGGTGGGGGGCTGTCACCATTCCAGGTGAAAGGGATGAATGACAGGTCAGAGCTAAAGGGAAGACGGAGGAGGTAACCCACAAGGCTGTAATTTTCAGTGCCTGTGAAATTATAGGCAGTTTCTCCTCCCTCAAATATTGCATTCTTGTTAGTAGTAATTTTTGGTGTAGGGGTTAAGTGTGCAGACTCTAATCTGGGAGAACCGGGTTGGATGCCCCACGCCTTCACTTGCAGCTGCTGGATGACCTTGGACAAGCCGTAGTTCTGTCAGAGCTGTTCTTGAAAGAGCAGTTCTAGAAAGAGCTCACTCAGCCCCACCTCCCTCACAGGAGATTGTAGACCGCTCTGAGGCTCCAAGTGCCAATCTCTTCTTCTTCTTCTCTTTTCCCCTTATCAAGTCACAGCCAACCTGTAGGGCTTCCAAGGGAAGAGGTGAACAGAGGTGGTTTGCCACTGCCTGATTCTGCGTAGCAGTCTTGGACTTCCTTGGTGGTCTCCCATCCAAGTACCAACCAGGGCCGACCCTGCTTAGCTTTTGAGCGGTGGCAAGACCAGGCTAGCCTGCACCACCTAGATCAAGGCAATATTGGTTTCTATTCCCTTGCGCTTTCATTGTGTCCATCCAGTTTTATTGTACTGTTTACCGTATGCATTCGAGACCGGGCTTGGTGTCATGCTGTTTTTATAACCCCGTAATCTGCCTTGCTATGGAGCTGCGGTGGCTCAAGTGGTTAAGACGCTGAACTGCAGGCTGTGGAAGGTCGGTAGTTCAGCAGTTCGAGACCCGAGTGTGCCGCAAGACAGGGTGAGCTCCTGTCTCTGGTTCCAGCTCCTGCCAACCTAGCAGTTCGAAAGCAAGAAATTGCAAGTAGATAAATAGGTACCACTTCGGTGGGAAGGTCACAGTGTTCC